GGTTTGCGCTCGTATGAAAATCTTGGCCCTGCTCATTAGATTGGGAGGCAGAGTTCAGGTGGGAATGCTTGCCCAGTGCTCACCTTCTGCTTTGTGGCCTGGTTCTTAACAGGCCATGGGCTGGGAGCCCCTGCTGTAAAGGACATGATGACAAATTAGATACAACCTCTTCCTTTAGACACATACAATCTAGGAGAGACGCAAGATATGGACACGTAAGTTCAAGTGTGAGGAATATGTTGAAAAATAGCATAAAAGTAGTACCATGAAGTGCTACAAGATTTCAGAGGAGGGCTGTATCATGTTTGAACATGGCATCTAGGAAAGGCTTCACTGACTACATGGCATTTTAGCTCTTCTGAAGTGTGGGGAGGAATTCAGCTGGCAGAGATGGGAGGGATTCAAATGAAGAGGAAGTAGGATGTCACAGGTTGGTTTGGGGAATGCCAGATAGGCCAGTTTGATAGAGGACAGACCATGTCTAAGGGACTGCAAGGCAAAACTGGGGGATGGGGGCAGTTTATGCAGGGCTCTCAAGGTCAGTCTAGCAGAGTGACAGAGCCACTTAAGGTTTTCTTCAGGGAATTACACAATCTATCTGTTCCTGTAAAAACTTAGAAGGACATGCTGGAGGGAAGAGATACTGGAGGCTGGAATTCCATTTAGGAGTCTTTTTTTAGTGGTCCAGGCATTTGTGTGATAAGAGAAAGTGGAGGGGAGGAAACAAGCACTTATTAAGAGCTCACTATGTGTAAGGTATTTATTTAAAGTGTATTAGATATAACACCCCACAACAACTGTGAAAGGTAGATAACATCAACTCCAATGTTCAATTTAGGAAACTGAAGCTCAAAAAGTTCAGTAGTGTGCCCAAGGTCACTGAGTTAGTTACAACAAGGCGGGGGTGGGGGGACAGTGGCAACTGAGACTTCAAAACCCATTTTATAATATACACCAGGTTGATTAGGGCCTTCCTTTCATAAGCTCCCCGAAATTCAGGATCAGCTGTTGAGGATTTTAGCTGTGCCTCTAGTACAGAACTAGAAATAATCACATATGGTAGGAGAATGATTCTGACAACAGACGAAATTAGAGAGACTCTTCTACCCCACACAACCACAGAAACTTCCCTGCTAGGCTGAGGGATTGAGCTTTCAATGAGGTGATCATGTCTTATCTGTCTCTGGATCCCCCAGAGCAAGACCAGGGACTGGCATTGTAGAACCTCAAGGAGAAAGCTGTTGTATTAAATTGAACTTGTGATTCATGTTACATATGTTCTGTCCTCAACTGAAGTTCTAATGAAACAAAGTATTTTGCATGGTTCTAAGACTGCAATTCACGAGAGTTGTTTCCACAGATGAGACCCACTCTAAGCTCTGGGACAAACTCTGATCCTAGTTGGGAGAATATGAGGATTGAACTGAGAGCTCAGCAGCATGGCATCAAGTCAGCCTCACTGCCAGTCTTGCTCTGCTCCTCGATCCAAGCCGTAGATTCTGAGTGTGCTCCTTCTCACCACTAGGATCCAGCTCTCCCTCCTTTTTAACTTCCGGTAGCTACAATCCTGGCTTGCTCCCTAGGCCAGCATCCCTGTCTTTGAATTTTGTCCACATATGGGATCTTCATTTCTCCAACAAAATATGAAACATAGCAAGACCTTTTTGATACCAACTCTTTGCTTGCTGAAACCTGCCAGGCTGTGTTTTGCTTATATTCCAAGGCTACTGTCTGGGTCCCTGGGACTGTCTCTGATCTCCTGGATTACTCCAGCTGGTCTGTAGAGTTATCCGTCATACTCCAGACCTCCTTGGTCTAGCCTGTGCGTCTACTTGATGAAAGGAATTTGGACAACAGTCATTATAACATCGGTTGAGTATCCCTTATCCAAAATGCTAGGGACCAGAAGTGTTTTGAATTTTAGATTTTTTTTTTCAGATTTTGGAATATTTATAAATACATACTAGTTGAGGATCCCTAATCCATAAATTCAAAATCTGAAATACTCCAATAAGCATTTCCTTTGAGCATCATGTTAACACTCAGAAAGTTTTGGATTTTGGAGTATTTTGGATTTCAGATTTTTGAATTAGACTGCTGAATCTGTAATAGCGGTAATATTCAAAAGTTATATAACATTTGCTATGTGTCAGGCACTGTTCTATGTGTTTTATAAATATTGATTGTATTGATTCTTATAATCATCACATTATTATTAGCCTCATTTTGTTGTTGGAATAAAAAGTAAAACAAAAAACCAACCTGAGTAGTTGTTACTTGTCTAATGTGACGATGTTTGCAAGTGCCAGAGCAAGACTTTGAACCCAGGCATTCTGGCTACAGTTCATCCTCTTAATCACTATACTCTCCTAATAGCAGTGAGAAGATAGAAAACTGCCACTAGTAAATGTACTATCTTAGATGCTTTATTTAATATAATTTACATAATACCACCAATAATTATTAGACTTATGTTAATAAATGTGTTAATATCTAGCTATAACTATAAACCTTTAGCCATTACATGAAACTAAAACTTTAATATATGAGCATTTTCATTTTGATTGAAAATCTACAGATATTCTGCATTTAGGCAAGTCTAATAAGACAGAATTCACAGACATTGCTGTTTCATTTAGCAAAAAGAATCCAAGAATACCAGTAGAGAATATCATCATGAATAAGACTCTGATAGGAGGGGAAACAAACAGTCCCAGGGACCCAGACAGTAGCCTTGGCATATAAGCAAAAAAAGATGGGAGAACTTAAGAATCAAAATAGAGACTGCTGACATCTTGGCAATTTGGATTGTTCTGCACTGTAGTTCACTTGACGAAATGATGACGTTTCACTGTTACCAATTCAGAAGATGAACATCTGACTAAACATATTACAATGAAGAATTTAAATAAGAATTAAATAAGATTGTAGGCCAGATGTGGTGGCTCACACCTGTAATCACAGCACTTTGGGAGACTGAGGCAGGTGGATCACAAGGTCAGGAGATTGAGACCATCCTGGCTAACATGGTGAAACCCTGTCTCCACTAAAAATACAAAAAAACTAGCCGGGCGAGGTGGCAGGCGCCTGTAGTCCCAGCTACTCGGGAGGCTGAGGCAGGAGAATGGTGTGAACTCAGGAGGTGGAGCTTGCAGTGAGCCAAGATCCCTCCACTGCACTCCAGCCTGGGTGACAGAGCAAGACTCCGTCTCAAAAAAAAAAAAAAAAGAATTAAATAAGAAATAAGATTGTAATACTACTTATATTAATATGTAACTGATTTGTGTTATAAATGTAATTTGTTAAAACAGAGCAGTCACTTCAAAAATTTGGTGAGTATACCTATGTATCAGAGGCTGGAGATACATCAAGACATATAAGGAGTTTCTTTTCTTTTCTTTTTTTTTTTTTTTTTTTTGAGACGGAGTCTGGCTCTGTCGCCCAGGCTGGAGTGCAGTGGCCGGATCTCAGCTCACTGCAAGCTCCACCTCCCGGGTTTACGCCATTCTCCTGCCTCAGCCTCCCAAGTAGCTGGGACTACAGGCGTCCACCACCTCGCCCGGCTAGTTTTTTGTATTTTTTAGTAGAGACGGGGTTTCACCGGGTTAGCCAGGATGGTCTCGATCTCCTGACCTCGTGATCCGCCCGTCTCAGCCTCCCAAAGTGCTGGGATTACAGGCTTGAGCCACCGCGCCCGGCTAGGGAGTTTGTTTTCTAACAGTAGAAAGATCACACACAAGTAAACAAACACATAATTCCGACTAGCAATAAGAACTATGAAGAAAGTAAAACAAGGTAATGCAATACAGAATGAAGTACTTGTAGTGGGCTAGTCAGGATACAACATTTGAGCTGGTACCTGACTGACAAAGAATAAGGGTGGTAATGTGACAGAGGTGGTCTGCTCAAGGAGAAAAAGGAGGCCAGAGTGGCTGAAGGATCATGAGAAAGGGAGAGACTGGCATGAACTCCAGTTGGAGAGGTGAGCAGAGTCCAGACTATAGGTCCTTGCAGGCCACAGCAAGAGATCTGAATTTTGTTCTAAGTATTAGAGGAAGCCACTACAGGGTTTTAAGTTAGGGAAGTGATATAGTATAACCTACATTTAAAAACCATCAGTTTAGCTGCTATTTGGAGAATGCATTCCAAGTGGTCAAGAACAGAAGCATAGAGGCCAATTAGGAAGCTACTGGAGTAGGGAACAGAAGATGGCAGTTTGAACTCAAGTTGCATCAGCAGAAACAGAGAGAATTTGTAGACAGAACTGACAGGACTTGTTGATGGGCTTTGATGCAGGGAGGTAGGGAAAGAACGCAATCAGGAATGACTTGTAGATTTTGAGTGGGTGGTTGTGTGATCTAGTAATAGGCGGAAGATTAAGGAAGAAACAAATTTTAAGAGAAATTCCTATCAGTAGAATATTAGTAAGTACAGTGGTAATATAGTGATATCCACAATGACATTTATATTAAACTCAGGGAATTAACAAGCAACACACTTTCACAAAACCTTAGAGAATATGATCACTGGTTAGACCTTTTCTTTGATAGAAAAATCAGCCTACCTCAAGCCCCAAGACCATTTCAGCTATGGAAATGAAAACTACAGTCATCTATTTCTGGCCTTCCATGGGCATATTTTGTTTCATGGGGCAGCTCTAGAAGCTCTGAAGTGTGTGAACACATGACAGGCACTTGATAAAGGAGCGGTGAACTAAATGACACCTCCTTGTCCCATTATAATCTACTCACAATAAAATGGAGAGTAGAACTGAGGACTCTGAAAATTGCCATGTATCATGAGTTTGGATTACATTATTCCCTTATTTTAAAAAATCCTATTATATATGTGTGTGGATATACACATACCACATACACAGATGTGTATTTCTCTCTGATACTATTAATGTAAGAAGTAAGTATGTTCCAAACATTTTTCCTAATATATGATCAGTGCTTTCCCACAATATTTTCATTTTACAATGAATAGTCATTACATACCTGTAGCACATCACCAAGGTCTGCTGTGCTAATATCTGGATCCTCTGTGGTGTTAAAAGGCACAGGAGTTATTCGTACAAGGGTGAGCACTCTAGGTTCTGGGTATCTCCATAACATCATCCCTGGGCAATCTTCAGTTTCATTATAAAATAAGACTTCATAGACCCCAGGCAATTTCAAATATTCTGTCAAATAAAAATATAATTAATTGTATGATTTTAAAGGGGAACATGGTTTAGTAAAGGAAGAAAAACTTATGAGAATAAAAGATATAAAGAAGCTAGTTGATTGGCTTTATATATATTCTGGAACAGAAAGAAATCAAGAACTTCCCCTAAGAGAGACTGAATGATAACGTACTATTTTTGTACTGAAAATTTTAATGCACTTTAAAAAGTCATCTTGATTGTTATTATTTAGTCAACATGCATTTAAAATGCACCCACATGCACACACACACTCTCATACTGAGGCTATTGCTACTTACCAGCATCCTGTACATATTGAAATAGACCTGTCCGTAGGTCATCTGAAGTTTGTTCACTTTTAAATGTCTGATTCTTTTCCACAGGAGATGACATTTGAGGTACTGGTTCAGAAACTTGTATTTCAAAATTTCCCGCCTCACTAAGGTATCCATTGAGTAATTCATGTAGAAGAACTAAACAATTTAAATGTTCTTGACCCCAGAAGACCTTTAAAATCATAAAAAAATTCTAGTGGCTTTTAAATACAAATATTTCTCGAGACTAAGTAGGTATAATCATATTTGAATTACTGTAGGACTGTAATTATGTTCAATTTAATTACTTATAATAAACTGTAATTCCTAAAAAGTAACTGACCTACAGGATGAAATTCTACTGCTTGAATTGAGTAAATATATAACAACAAAAAATTAATTATATTTTATATTGTGTGAATAACAATAAAATTTAAATGTTGAAGTATGTTGATGTGAAGTAATGTTTATGAATTAATTTAGCTAAGAGGGAAAAGAACCCTATTATAGTCTGAGAGAAGGCAATGAAGATCCTCTAGGCCAAAATGTTAATAAAATCATAATAATAACCTTGTGGAATAGCTCTGACATTTTGCCATGAGATTAAATAAGCAATCCTTATAATAGGGTTCCTTTCTCTGCACTTTTATTTTTCAGAGAAAAAGAGAGGGAGCCTTCTCAATGAACCTGAACTTAGAAGGCTCCCAACTTCCGTGGTTAGTAAGACTGTGCCAACACAGAGGATTCCAGAGCCCCTGAGAATCAACTATACTACAGTAGCTACAGTAGAGTTTCAGAACAAAAGGACTTAGCGTTTCCTCTAATGGAGATTAAGTTTTCTTTTTCTGCATGTGAGTAATATTAGTCTATAATAAGTTATAGACATATAATGACCAGTAGGTTACAATGAAGATTAAAACTTTCAAAAATGTTAAATTTCTCTGTAAATACTAAATAAAGGCAATACAACTATCAATTCTAAGAGAACCAGGTAACACAGAAAAGACAAAAGAATATATAGTAGTAGACAATAATAGCCCTATATCGTGTGGGTAAATTTTAAACCCTAGGCTTAGGTTCTGCTCTCTGGAATTAAGGCATCTCAGAAATGAAAGTAAGAGATATAACACTAAGTGTACTTGTGTTCTCATCAATCTTATTTTTATTGGATGTTGAAAAATAGAGATAGGTGAAAAGTCAAACTGGGGAGTAGAATGTTGTGCTCTAGCCTTTAAATTGTCAAGAGACAATGACTGTAATACAGAGATAATACACTGTACTTTGTTTTTGCTTTTATTGATGCTGTGGTTTAAAATTTTCTTACTTTTTATTTTTAAGCACTTGGTCATGTAAACAGATCATTGCTGTTTTTAATGTGAAGTTACTTGGCTGCCTTGGAAAAAAGGTAAGACAATGAATATTCTTGATAAAGTAATACATGCTTATTGCTAAATATATGAAGATTTCTGATAGATGCTGAAAATTTCCAAAGCAACACAAAACAATAAATTATTAGGATCTTCCCAAATCTTGCTCTGTACATTAAAAAGAAAACTGGTGAAAACTTGAGGCAATACAATTTTTAGATAAAAACAGAAAATTGGCCAGGTGCTATGGCTCATGCCTGTAATCCCAGCATGGGTGGAGGATCACTTGAGCCCATGAGTTTGAGACCAGCCTGGGCAACATAGTGAGAACCTGTCTCTTAAAAAAAATAGTCAGGCATAGTGGTGCACACTTGTGGTCCTGGGTACTTGGGAGGCTGAGGTGGGAGGATCTCTTGAGCCCAGGAGGCTGAAGCTGCAGTGAGCTGTTATCACACTACTGCACTTCAGGATGTGCAACAAAATGAGATCCTATCTCAAAAAAAGAAAGAAAGAAAGAAAGAAAGAAAGAAAGAAAGAAAGAAAGAAAGAAAGAAAGAAAGAAAGAAAGAAAATTCACATTTAATGTCTCTATTATTGACCAATTAGTTGTTTTAATTTTCTATCACTGTGAATCTTTCAAGCTTTTTGGATTCATGTCAAGTTTAAAGTGGCATCAAATTACATAAAGATTAAATTAAAATCTATCCAAACACAAAATATTCAAGAAATAACTTGGATATCTTCATATATTCTACACTTGGCTGTTAATACAAATGCATTAAGAGCTTGCAATGTGACTAATTTATCAAGTGTTGTAATCAGATCTCATCACATGTAAAATATTTAATATTAGGAAATGGTTCTTATATATTGCTAGTGACACTGTGCCTGCAACAAGTTGACTACTTTTAGTATTAATAATTTAAAAAATCTATAGCCTGGACAACATAGTGAGACCTAATCTCTACTGAAACAAACAAACAAACAAACAAAAAACGAAACATTAGCTGGGTGTGGTGGTACACAGTTCTACCTACTCAGGAGGTTGATGCAAGAGGATCACCTGAGCCTGGAAGATTGAGGCTACAGTGAGCTATTATTGTACCACTGTACTCCAGCCTGGGTGACAGAGCAAGATCCTGTCTCAAAAAGAAAAGTCTACACATAAAAAAAAAAAATTCAACCCAGCAATTCCACTCCTAGTTATATATCTAAGAGAAATGAAAACATATGTCCACACAAAAAGTCGTACACAAATGTTCATGGCAGCATTATTTATAGCAGTCAAAAGTGGAAAGAACCCAAATGTCTATCAACTGATGAGTCAATACATAAAATATGGTATATCCATATGATGGATTATTATTTGGCCATAAAAAGGAATAAAATATTGACACTTGGTAAACATGGATGAACCTTGAAAACACTCTAAGTGAAAGAAGTCAGTCACTAAAGATCACAGGTTATATGGTTCTATTTATATGAAATGTCAAGAATAGGTAAATCTATAGAGACAGAAAGTAGATTAGTGGTTTCCTAGGCCTGATGAGGGGGTTAGAGGGTAATGCGACTGGCTGCTAATGGATACGGGTTTTTTTGTTGGTGGTAATGAAAATGTTCTGAAATTGACTGTGGTAATGATTGTGCAACTCTGCGAATATGCTTAAAAACCCACTGAATTGTATACTTTAAATAGGTAGAGTGTCTGGTGTATGAATTATATCTCAATAAAGTTGTGGAAAATTTAACAAGTAGCAATCTGACAAATACCCTTTCTTACCACACTTTTAAAATTTAGTGAAACAGTTCAAAAACTGAACAGAGGCTAGTTAATAACCTATGAAAAAAATATGGCCAATACCCACAGACCTGTAGCAGACCTCCTCTTAAGTCAATGGATATTTTTGGTATGGATTGCTCAGGGCCTGGATTGCCGCTGTGTTTACACCATTTAGCTTCCAGATTGGCAGTAGCACAACATGGTCCTATCAGAATGCGGCTTCTTTCTTTGAGACTTGTTTTAAGGAGAAAATCGTTTATAGTGAGTAGAAATGATGACCCAAGAATTACGCCTGAAAAAAAAAATAGAGAAGAGTATATAATTCATCCTTATCAAAAAAATGTTTGGGAAAGAACTGTCTGTATTTTTGAAGAGTATTAATTCGTCCTTTGTCAGAGTCTTCTTGCTCAGTTGGCAGTCCACCACCGTTTCATGCCATTTATACAGAGTTCTAGTTATAAAGCAGGTATACCTCATTCACATTCCTAACAAAGTAATATTTGCCAAAACATTATGACTTTTTCCATGTGTGAGCATTTTAAGTTTTATGAGTAGAGACATTTTCATTAAGTTGTGCAAGTTTTTCAAGCAACTACATTAAGAATAAGAACAGCTGCTTCATTTGTCTATTGTTAACATGATGGGAAAGGGTAATTTTCTGTGATTTCGTACAGTAACAGAGTGCAGTATATTACTTTGCTAGACACTTAAGTTTTTTACTGGCCCATGTTAAAATTCAAAACAATCAAAATATATAACATGTGTTTTCTAAAAATTTTAGTTTAATCCAAACTTCACACATCATAACCACTTGAAGTTTACAAAGTCTTAAAAACAGATAGTGGCAGGTTAGATTTATGAGAAAAACTATATGCTATAGTTCAAAGTAAATATACCCAGAAAAGGAATACACTTTAAAATGTAGGTTTTCTTTTGAACTTAAAATAGGAGTGTAGATCAAAACGTTTTCATAAAACCAATGGCACATTTTAAGATATTTAGATGCAAAGTTAGAGTGGTGAGTTAACTTTCCTCCCAAGGAGCTCATATTCTAAATTGTCATAGTGAATATTGAATTTCACCAGACCACGTTTGTAATGCCCATGGCTTATTTTTCTAATGATATTTGATCCCTAAAAAAGATGAAAGATTAAAAAACACCTTAGGCCCATAGTATACACATGTTTCAAAGTACAGTAACCACACTGACTTTTCAATTCTGTAGAGACTTGAAAATTTCATATAAGTTGTATATTCCTACTGCAGAAATAAGATATTCAACGTCTAATCCTCCACAGAAGGCATCACACCCACAAAAGCGTTAGAGATAAGACTTTTGTTTAAAAATAATCATGGTGGAAATCCATTGCTTAAAATGTTTCATCAAATTGTGAAACTGAAACTACCATTTCATTTACAATTATCCTGATTCAAAGCTTTCACTCAGTCTAAACAAACAAATAAACAAGCAAAAAAAGCACTCTAGAAAATAAAAGAAATAGAAACAGGCCCCAAAATACCCCCAAATAAAAAACCATCTTTATTAACAGAGTCCATAACTTAAGCCATAATTTTCTGACTTAACAGCATTACCTTTCTAAAATATCTAAAACTTCTAAAAGTAAATATTTGCTAAATGAAATATATCTATTCATCATCCAGAAATTTGCCATAAAGGCATAAAAGTATAGCCTTAATTCAGTACAATTATTTAGTAAATGAGCATTAACAGAATGTCAGGATTACATCATCTTTTATTTTCAAATACACATATCTTTGTACAACCCCACACTGACATACCTAATTAACTGTTTGTAATCTTATTATGATAGTCATATTGAATCCTTGTACACAGTGTTTAATGCCAAAGGCCACCTAGTTTGCTTATCTTATTTAATGGTTATCATTATCTCTTCAGGCACCCAGACTGAAAAACCTCAGGTCCTCTTTGAAGGCTCTTATTTCCTTTGACAAATTTCTAAAACTTATCAATTTCTATTTCATTCTCTCCAATTCCATTATTTTAAAACATCAAAGAAGAGACACCTGAATAATATGAGTGACTGAAAGAGACGATCACACCATTTTCAAGCTCTAGTACTGACCACGCTGGAGGCAAGGACCAGCTTATTCAGTGTAGTCCTGGGCACAACAGTAGCTATTCAGGACATGTTCCATTGAACTGAATAGACAGTTTAGAATCTGATCCTATTTTTCAGCTGCCTCAACGTATTTCTTAATTGGTAGACAGGAAATAAAACTGCTTACATCTTCGGTTTCATTTTGTACCACTGTAACATAACAAGGCTGGATGGAAGAGATCTAGAAATCATCTACTCCAAGACCCTTCACTTAAAAAAAAAAAAAAAAAGCTTTCTATTTTGAAATAACTTTGGACCTACATAAAAGCTGAAAAAACATACTGTATAACGTTCCTGTATACCCTTCACCTAGCTAAGTAACTTTAGTACAAATACTGCAATCAGGAAATCCACATCAATATAATACTTTTAAATAATCTACACATCTTTTTAAAATTTTGCCATTTTTCCCACTACTTTCCTCTTTCTGGTCCAGGATTCAACCTAGGATCTCTGCTGAATTTAATCATCAAAGCTTCTTAGTATTCTTTAATATGTGACAGATCCCCCAGCTTTCTTTGTCTTTCATGACCTCGATACTGTGGAATAACCCAGGACAGTCATTCTGCAACATGTCTGTCAGTTGGGGTTTATCTGATGTTTTCTTGTGATTAGAATGAGGTTATGCATTTTTGGCAATACCACAGAAGTGACACCCTTAGTGCATCATATTGGTGTATGTGATACTTAATATTTTACTATTTACAATATTAACTCTGATCATATGGCTAAAGTGGTGTCTGTCACATTTTGCCACTGTAAAGTTAACACTTTCCCCTTGTAAGTAAGTATTTTTGTGGGAGAGACACTTGGAGGTTATGCAAATATGCTCTTTTTCTTCAAACTTTCACCCACTGATGTTAGCATCCACCAGTAGTCTCACCTGCAATGATTTCTTGTGGTGTGTGATAATGGTGGTTTCCTATTTCCCTTACTTAGAGCTGTCCCTTCTAGTGCCCACTTCAGTAGCACATATACTAGAGCTGTCCCTTCTACCCCATATACTAATTCAATTATTTATTTATATCAGTATGGACTCATGAATATTCATTTTTATGGGTTATAATCCAATACTATCATTATTTACATTGTTGCTTACTCTGAACCAGCTTTGGCCATTGGGAGCCCTTTAAGATGGTCCCTGTGTCCTTTTAGTATATGCTCATCTTTTTTTTTTGTTGTTTTTTTTTGAGACAGAGTCTCACTCTGTCACACAGGCTGGAGTGCAGTGGCATGATCTTGGCTCACTGCAACCTCTGCCTCCCGGATTCCAGTGATTCTCCTGCCTCAGCCTCCCGAACAGCTTGGATTACAGGCGCTCACCACCATGCCCGGCTAATTTTTGTCTTTTTAGTAGAGATGGGGTTTTACCATGTTGGCCAAGCTGGTCTCAAACTCCTGACCTTGGTTGATCTGCACATCTCGGCTTCTCAAAGTGCTGGGATTACAGGCGAAAGCCACTGCACCTGGCCTATGCCCATTATTTTTTGAGAACTTCTTTACTTTCAGGCCACAAAATATTTCAGGCTCATCTTGTATTTTTCCCACCCTATCTCCAACACCAGCCATTTCTCCAAGGAGCTCTGGTTTCTTTTGTTGAAGAATGGTATCTAGAAACCAAAATCTGGGTGGTAGGTATGCTCGTTGCTACTGGGGTGTCACTGCTGCTAGGTCCTTTCAGCAGAGCTAAGAAGTATATGTATGTATAGCAACCCCTGTATACCTACGTATCTTTGTCTCTCTCTCTATCCACTGGTAAATATATTAAAAACCATGAATTCATACTGATACCTCAGGTTCAAATCCAACAGCACAGAGTGGTTTCTAGCCTTCTCCCATTCCTTATTTGTAACCTCTTTCTATGACCGTGAGAAACTTGCTAAGTACCTCTTCAGGTGTGTCTGTTTCTAATCCACCCTAAACCATCACTTGGAGTGGTCAAAATTAAAGCAAAAGAACTAAGAAAGCCATAAAGAACAAGTTTATGGAAGCAAAGGTAATTATCTACTAAAGAAAAGTCAGAAAAGGTTGATATTTATTCCTGGAAGTCTCTTTAGGAATGGGCTTGACAACATTTTGTCTACAAAGCATACAGAGGAATGAGATTCCTTTCTCACTCTATAGTGGCTTTCATTTAAAAAAGAATATTTGTAAGCATGATAAAATCTTATATTTGTAGAAATAACATCATACATACAGAATTTGGATCATATTAGGTATTTCTATTATGCAGGAACCACTTTAAAATACCGATATTGCACTAAATACTGATGTTGTACTAAAATTATGAGGAATTGTCTTAAAAGAACTAGTACTGAAATGTCAAAATTCATATCATTCTATATTATGCATATCACTTGCAAAGTGCCTAACCTCTTAGAGAACTTAAGTAGAGTTGATGGAAGGCTCTTTTTAACCCTCCCAAAGTTACATAATTACAAGTTCTTATTGACTGGGGCAAGGAGAGAATGAAAAAAAAATTCCAGACTTGAATTATTACAAAACAAATATAGAAAAACACTTCCCTACTATTACACAAATTCCTTTTTTTTTTTCCCTTGGGGACAGAGAATGGGATAGCTAGAATTCTCAAGAGAGTAAAGATAAAGGTAGGGACAGAAATATCAGGAAAATGGCATAGAATTAGGAAGCCAATGATCACACAAACATTTGGGAGGCTGGAACAAGAAGAAAGTGGGCCAGACTCAGGTGAGCACTAAGGAGGACCAGAGGACGCACAATGTGCTTCAGAAATAGAGGCCCTGCAATGAAGGCAGGCACTAAGCTAGCTATAGCTATGTTCCGGTGACAACAGAATCCAATGACTGGTTTGCCGGAAACAGTCTAGCAGGTTGTGGAACTTGCCACACTTTATGGGACTTTATGTTTGATATTCTCTGGAGATTGATTTGGTTCCAGAATGAGCATAATATTCAATGAAAACCACTAAGGTATAATAATACTTTTGGGAACATGACCCTTCCTCTTGCTCCCTGGTCTTGAGGTTAAGAAAATTAAGGCCCTGGAACTACTGGCAGTCAGCATGTGGAGCCTAAGGGACAAAGCTGCGTAAAGCAGAGGGAAGAAATCTAACAGACTCAAACTCATCCTTTTTTATGGCTGCACAGTCTTCTCAGCAAACTATCACAAG